TTTTTTTTAACATTGGTTCTTAAACCCAAGAATTAGAAAGATGAATTTTGCCTTTAAAGTCAAACCCGCAGAGGCAAAATTCTTTTATGAGAGATTAATTGTGTCCTTGCTGCTGAGTGAAACTTAAACAAAACAAAAGCAAACTTATTAGACTTTGGTTGCACGATCCCTGGTGTATTTGATGTTTTCTGCAACCAAAGTGTAAGTAGTTAAGATAATGAGTTGGAAAGGCAGAGGCTCATGAAAGGCAAAACAGCTGTTTCCGATGTGCTGGAGAAAACAACCACACTGTTAATAAAAGAGGGCAGCGGTTAGAACGGATGTTAGAATTTTCTGTGTGGCTTTTACTTGTTAGGAGAGAAAGCATTGTCTTTCAGGGAAGAAAAATCTCTATCTTTAGAAAGGTTTTTATTCTGTTCTTTCCTAAACCAATAGAAGCTGCTCTTGTCTCAACACGTTAAATGAGCTCTTATTTTTTTTTTTTTTTTAATTTTTGCAGTTTTTGGCTGGGGCTGGGTTTGAACCCACCTCCTCCAGGATATGGGGCCGGTGCCCTACTCCTTTGAGCCACAGGCGCCACCCTAAATGAGCTCTTTATATTCCTGAAGATTTGATTGACTTATATATAAGGAGTGATTGGATGCATTAGGATTCAACTCAACAAAACAAGAAAATATGATAGTTTTAAGTTGGGTGGGGACATTCTGACCTTTAAACACGGAACATCCTCACAGCGTCTTAACTGTTTGCCCTGTTTTAATCATATGTGGTCTAAATGAAAAATAAATTAAGAATAACTCTAAAAAGCAAATAATTGTATTCAGTAATCACCAGCTCATAAAGTCCCTTTAACATTAAAGACGATGACTGCCTCACTCTTAGATAGGACGAGAAAACCAGATGCATGTCTTGACCCTCATGTGCCTGAGAAAACTTTTTTGTTTCTTTCAATTTCATGTGAATAATATTTTATTTTACTCCATTGCCTTTTGAAGTCTCAGTTTAATAGCATGCCAGGCATTTTCATTTGTATAAACCATTATGATGTTATGAGTAGGCTTTAGTTTTCCTTATGATAGCATTGTTATCGGTTGGCTTCTATGTTGAAGGATGGTCTCAAATACACGAGTTGCAGGGTGGGAGTGGAAGGGGGGTGGGAGTGGAAGGGGAATGGAGGAAGACGTCTAGTTTCTTAAAAGTGTATATATGGTTATCTATGCCTCCAATATGGAAAAGCGTTATTTGCAAATGGTTAGATTCTCTTCCGAATTTGTTTCGTTTAAACCCCTTTTGTTGTTATTGTTAATTTGGGTGAGTAACATCGATTCTATTATCTTATCTCTTCCTCTGCCTAGTTAACTTTCCCTTCGGAAGAAATAGAAAATATATAACAAAAGACCTCCTAAAGACAATGAACCTGAAGGGTAAGGAGAGAAGGATGAGTAGACAGGTGCATTAGAGAAGTACTTGGAATGCCTCTTTCTAGTTGTCTCTGTCATTGGGGACGAGAGCTGGGTCACACAATTCCCCAGTCTCTTTGCTGGCTCTGTCTTCTATTGACTAACTTTCTGACCTTAGACAATTCACTTAACCTTTTTATATCTCAGATTTCCTATCTGAGAAGAAGAGAAATAATACTGTCTATTCCCCGAGGGTGTTCTGAGGTTTAATTAATTAGTCTTTGTGTAACACTGACTGGAGACATGCAAAGACTTAATTGAAGCAGTATGTGAACTTGATGTCCAAATGAGGAAATAATTAATGACTTCCAAGTGGATGGGCACGTAAAACAATAAAAAATAATCTGCTATAAATCCCGTACTGGTGTTAGAACCAAATTGTATATTATTGATGATAGAACAAGTCTCAGATTGGGACATCCGTACACATATGTGTGTATATGTAATCACTTATTATAACACTGAGATTGATCTCAAATCCTAAGGAGTGAAATCAATGAGGATAATGAGACCTGACATGGATTTTGGGAAATCTTGGGCAAATGATAAAAAGAGAAACTTTGTCTAGTCCTTCACATTCTTTATAGGGAGAGGATAGTGATGACTATTTCTCATTTATTCACTAGCTGCTGCTTAGCTGAGAGAGATACATTAATCAGAGGAAAGGACGGCAGGAGACTGGAGTGTTCCACTATCCCGTTAGTGACTGCTAGCTTTTGCTATTAACTACTGAATCCAAGGTACAGAAGGCTAGGAGTGGGCTTTAACACAGAAGAAAAGCAGATCTAGCCATAAATACACCATGCAACACACAAGCAAACAAAACCCCAAATACTTCCTATGGTAAAATGAAAACATAGACAAAACTCCTCTTCCAGTCTCACACCACCAGTGTCTTTTTCTCAATAATTGATTAGTGAGATCTTTCTGCAAAAGCAGCGACAACCAGGAATGGAGCTGCAGCTTTATCTTGTGGCCCAGGAAACATGCTTTTGCATGCTTTTTCCTGATACTGGGGTCAGTCTTGAACAAACAAAGACCACTACCTAGAGGGAACTGTGGCAACTGGAATGAATACAATCCATTATTTCTAGCCAGAGAAATTCCACTTTGCATTTCAATTTTCTCTGACCTTTTTATTTATAAGCATTGGCAGAATAACCAACAGGAAAATATCCTTAGAGCCTTTATAGAGGTTGTTATTGTAAAATACTTTCAAGAATTAGAATATAAGATTTTCTACCTGTAATGAAATAGAACCATTAACTGATTATAGGTGCTGAACTATAGAAGAAAAAGAGATGGATAAATATTATGACTGGCCAAGAGTTATGCACGTGGAAGGCGTCCCTGGGTGTTAGCACTGTCTAGTGAAGTTATTGAACTTGCATTCTAGAAATATCTCGTTAGGCAGTTTCTTCTAATTTATTATGTAAAGCTTTCCCCAAGGTCTCTGTGAAGTTGAGGGAGTATTTACTCTTCCCTTCTATGATTTCATTTCTTTTGTAGTAAGCTTAGGGCTTCCAGAAAAATACGTTGTCAAAAGTAAACAGTAAAAAGATGTGAACTCCAGGCCATTACTCAGTGTTATTATACATTCAATTATTTTGCTGCATCTTATGAGAAGAGGACAGAGGCCAAAGAACAGACAGTCAGACAGTAATCCGTGTTCTTAGCACGTTGATGGAATTGGTTGGGAAATAATGGAAATCTATTAGATCTATTTTGATTGCACCCTTGAGAGCTGGGCAATTCTATTATTATTGAGGCTGGCAGATCTCATTTCCATATTCCATAGATTTTTTTTTTTTTATAGACTGTAGGTTGTTTTGCTGTAACAAAATTCTCTGGTTGGTTTACCATACTATAGTGTTTGAAGCCTGTAAAGGACATTATTTATAAATTATTCCTGACTGGCAGGCCTGTAAGCTTTGCTCATTGAGTGGTGTTCACTCTTATCTACAGAGCGGCCTCTGAGCAGACGCATTTTCTCTTTCCTGGCCTTTCCACCTGCTCAGTTATTATACATTGAAAAGGTTTTCCACGTTACATACCAAAATTTCAAGCATAGATATCACCCTATAACCTTGAAGACCGTGGAATAGAAGCAGAGGTTGAGTTTAAGAGCCCAACATCTCATAGTATACCATAACAGAGATTGTGGAGTAGATTGTGGAGTAAAAATTTCAGTTCATTAAAAATATACCCCCTTTTTATTAAGCTAGAAAAAAAATAAAGAAAAAATTTTTTCCTGTTATTTATAGCTAAAATAATTCAGATGATTAAGAATGACTGGAGCATTGTTTGATCACTGACCGACATGGAGGAAAATTCAGAAGGGATCTGTTTAATTCCATTAATAAGTCTCCCCCACCTTCTTCATACAGAAAGGCAGAACAGAATAACCTAGAGAAATAATGGTGATAAGAATGCCTTAGCATGATGCCATCTGATAAATTACAATGAATTTTTGAAAGCTGTTTGGTTTTTTTCTTAGATTTAGTACCTGAAAGAGGCTTTTGTAAGGAGAAATAATTGAGAGTGGGTTTGGTTGAATTCCACCATTCTAAACTCTATTCTGTTACAATATCATTCTGATAGATTTGATAGTTTTGATAGTCTTTTCACAGAAATATAAATGGCCCCCAAATGGGAACCCAAAATAAGGTAAACTACTGGTTAGCCCATTAACCTACCCGTGTATCATTTTAAGAAGTTTTTTTGTGTCGCTTCCCTGATTAATCCTCATTCACTTTTTAAAATTTATTGACTAAAATGATGTCTTTCCATCCCAGGCCAGGAGCATTATCAATATCTACTTATATTCCATATTTTAGAGAATGATTTAATTGTGTGACCATAGCCTATATCCCTGCAAAAAATTAATAGAAATAGAAATTTATCTATCACAATATTGCTAAAGAGAAAATATAAATAAGAATGTGAGGCACCAATAAGATTTATAGGAAATGATGTGTTTGGTGATCAGAACATTCACTTTTACAAGTATGCAATGAACCCAAGTCCGTTAACTGGAATTTAATTTCAGTTAATTTAATTTAATTATCAGACATCATTTTGAAATGTAATGTTCTGAGTCACCTCACTCAGTGTTTGTTGCCCATATATAACTCTTTTTAGTTCTTATTATGTTACTTTGTAGCTTTAAAATTAGTACGTGAGGCATCTATGATTTATTCTGGTCATCACCTAATTTAGGCGTTTCTTTCTGTCATCTACAATTACATACCCGAGAAGACTATAATACTTCTCATCACTGAACCAAGACTCTTCTTTCTCAGAATAAAGAAATAGAGACTTGACTATTTAGGTTATCTAGGATTTTCAGCTAGTCAGTGGAAGAGATAATCACAATGAAATGTTACTTGCCAATGTCGGTATTGAATTTTTGTTATCCATTTTTTCCCCTCCTATAATTGCTCAAGGAAGCCTGTTATGATACCTGGTCTGAATAGACCAGGTAAGCTAAAGAGAGAAAATGTACGAGAATAATAATGTTTCCCCCACCCAACCCACTAGGCCGGCAGTTAACCATCTTCAACACTCAGGCGCAAATAGCCATCGGTGGAAAGGACAAAGGACGCCTCTTCCAAGGCCAACTCTCTGGACTCTATTATGATGGTTTGAAAGTACTGAACATGGCAGCTGAGAACAACCCCAATATAAAAATCAATGGAAGTGTCCGGCTGGTAGGAGAAGTCCCGTCAATTTTGGGAGCAACACAGACGACCTCCATGCCACCAGAAATGTCTACCACTGTCATGGAAACCACTACTACAATGGCAACCACCACAACCCGTAAGAATCGCTCTACAGCCAGCATTCAGGTAAGCCCTTTTCTAAGCATTAATTCCTTCTGCATCTTTCTCTGTGAAAGGTTGTTATCACGGTCAGTGTCCTATGCAGCTAAAGAGTTTGAATTACTATGTTTATAGGGAGGATCCCTGCAGATGTTCATAGTAACAAGACCCAGGAGAATAGAGAAAGGTGAAGTCATTGCCAAGGAAATTGTAAAAGTCTTGTGGCACTCGTGGGTTATTATCCCTGTCATATTTATCACTGAAATGGTAAAGCTGTTATTCAGAATGAGCAAGAGCCTACACCAGTCAGTGTGAAATGCTCCCTCTTTTCATTTTATTACCTTTCTTTTCAAATAGCAAAAGGGGGAAAAGGGAAAAGAAAAATGTGTTATCATATGAAAGACGATATCCTAGTTCAATTCTATTCACATTCTCCAGATGGCTTTGCTAGAACATGAATCGTTCATTATTGAGCCCGATGGGTACCATTAAATCAAGGGCAATTGAAGCTAGAAGTTCAACTAATCCTTATAAAATGCAGTCTTTGTGTTTGCTATCAAGTCTTGATTAATCACTTGTGATTTTTTTGGTCCATTCTGTTTTCTTTATATTTTGACTGAGATAACTATTTCCATCAGAAAATTTGAAGGTTTGAGTTTGGCTACAAAGGAAGTCCTTAGTTTTGTAGTAAGACTTTTGTTTTCTACTTGAAAGTAATTATATACAAGTGAAAGCTTAATACTTTGCTGACTCCCTTGGCATTTCATAAATCTAGTTAGTAGGGGGTAGGAGGTTAATTGAGTTATTAGCCTTAAATGCTTTGGCATAAAATAAGACAGCCCAATTGCTTGTGGGGAAATTACCCCTAGCCTAGTTAGTGTTTGTAGAAAATTCAGTGGATCAGTACTTGTCCCTTTTATGTCTTAGTTTTAAGGCATTATCCAGGAGCTCAATTGAATGTCTGACATCACCCTCCTCTTGACTCCAATAAACGTTGTAAACTGAAAATCAATAATCAATTAAGCCCCATGCATGTGTCTACTTTTCAGAATTGTGATTTAGGTAGTGATAAAAAGTGTTGTCTTCTTTTTTCCTTTTCTTTAAGCAGAACATCTAGATATCTCCTTACATGACTCCTACTCTATCCTACATAGAGTTTGAAGCTCTATGTGGGATAATATTATCAAGCCAAGTTTACATGGTTTTGAAAGGCTACTAAAAACCCGGTTAGCATAGCACTCCTATAGTTGTATGTGCTATTACATGCATACCTAGGCACAGGCTCAAAAGAAAAAAAAAAATAGCTCTTCCCTACTGATATTAAAGCAATAACTCCTGACACTATGCTCTGCTCACTGAAAAGAAGATAAAAGGCAATATATATTTCTATTATGACTCTCTATAGCTCAAGAGCAGATCTGTTTATTGTTGGTGAAAGGATAGTTCTGTCTGCACAGATCTTGGCAGACTTGTTTTGTTTCTGTCAGAACATATTCTGCTATCTCTGTGGGAAGCAGAAAAGCAAATGGCTTTTCCTTCTTCGGTATGGCTGGTCCTGCAGTCCTTTGTAAGGCCAAATTTTCACTGACCTCAGGAAGATTGAATGTTACATGGGGATTCAGGGACTAAGCCACTGAGATGATCAGTTTTTGGCCTTCCTGCCTGCAATACATACCTGAATGGGAGCAAATTGGATGAGCTCCTGGACTTTTTCCACAAACAAAATCAGACCTTCTAGAGACAAGCAGGGTACAAGGTGATGCATAAGTCTTGTCAGTGATTATGACTATAAATATCACAGAACCTATGGTCATTTCAGAGGTGGTGGACATCTGGGAATGCCTTCCCCAACAGCCTCTCTCTGGTGTGTTTCTTTTTCCTTGTGTGCAGTCATAATTGGATTGTGTGTACATGTCGATCCTGTTACTTCCACCAAGGGTATAAAAATGAGTTATAAACCTGTTGACACTCTTTAGTTTTAAGGGTGTGTACATGTACATTCTTGGAAGAAAGCCAACAGCCTAGCAGAACTGATTAGACCAGGATACAGAATACAAAGCCCTCATGTTTTTTGTAAAGACTAACTGGAGAAAGTAACTTTGCACCAAAGGTTTGAACATTTTTGACCTTTCCAACTAGCCATAAGAACTCTGTCTTGTGATCCATAAAATCTGAAGAACCACATCTCTGGTCTCAAGTACATTTAGTAGACCACCTCAGACCTATCTGAGGGTTGGAGACCCACCAACCACTAGATCCTATTAAAGGCTTAGGACAATTCTCAGACTCTGGGGACTTTAAGTGAGGACGGTTGATATAGAAGTGTTAATATGCCTGCATGACATTTCATACCAGCTGGTATTTTTGGATAAAGAAGAATTATAAAGTTCTGATCTCTGGGAGAAATACTTCAGAAGGGAGAAAAAAAAGTGAGGAAGACGAGATTTCATATTCACGAAAAGCATCCACATGTTTATGTGTGAAATCGAACATAGAACGTTCTCCAGTGATGCTCTGTTCTGTCCTTCTTTGCTCCCGTACCATGGTTAAGCAAATTTGTCCTGAAACGAGACTCCTCTGGGGTAACAAAATAAGTATGTAAGTCCAGAAATATGAAAACCTGGCTATTCAAAAATCCACTAGTTGATTCTTAAAGTAAAAAGTAAGGAAATATACCAAGAAGTTATTTTTTTCTGGGGAACCTTGTTGAGTGCTGATTTCAGTTCAAAAGGAAACTGTACAGTTCCTTTGGGTACCACTCATGTCTGTGTGTGACTGTGACTGAGTCGATTTTTGAGTTGATGTGGTTCCCCGGTGCTATGGCCTACTCACGTAAGTGGTGTTTTGATATTTCTTTTATCCCAGTCTGTAACAGACCTGAGTGCAGAATTACTCACGAACGACAGGGGGCAGTGTTAAAGTCCTCATAGCTATCTTTCCTAAGCATCAGGTCTTGATCCCATATTAAAGAGGCTGTCTCCAGGCATTCCCTTAAATGGAACATATTGTTAATATGTACATGGTGAAAGCAAATGGTTGGGTGAGAATTTTCAAGATCTGGCACTTACTAAGTACTCAATACAGAGTTATTAAATAAGTCAAAACCAAGATGGGTTTTATTACCTACCTTATAGTTATTTAACAACTGGCAATGGCATAGCTTAGGGAAAGATTTTCCTCCAGAGCAATAGGGGTCCTGTGGGCATTTTTTTTACTTTTTCAGTGGTAAGACCTGGAGCCAAACTAGCTCAGGTTTAAAGCCTAGTTCATCTTCCTATTAGCTAAGTGACCCTGGATGAGTCACATAGGTTCTAGTTAATTAGTGCTGTGAAATAGGCTGTCCTATAACTTGGTGGCTTAAAACAATGGCTATGTCATTAGATCTCTATGCTGGTCAGAAATCTGGGCAGGTTCAATGAGGGAATTTTTCTGACCCATCTGCAGTCGCTTGGGGTCACTCAGTGGCTGCTTTTGCCTGGAGGGCCTGGCCTTATATATGCACACATCTTATGCCTTGGTGGGTTAAGACAAAGACTGAACATAGCTGGGCCCTTTTTCCTCTCTGCCTAGTCTCAAGGATTCTCCTTGTCGTCTCCCCCAGCAGAGTCACTGGGCTCTCTTCATGAAGGCTCAGGATTCCCTGAGAGAATGTTTTTAGGGAGAAGAAATATAGGACCCAGATTTTTATGGCCTGAGCCAGGAAACTGGCACTGTGTCACTTATACCAGACTCTATTGGTCCAGTCATAGCGCTTTCCCAGTTTCAGAGGAGGAATCATAAATACTATTTCTCCCCAGGAGAAGTAGCAAGAATTTTCAACCAAGCTAAGTTTGCCACGTTGTGTAGGTAGTGACTACGTTAAATAATTACTATAAGCATAACTGAGTTAATATAAGTAATATGCTTAAAACAAGTATACCATACAGGGTAAAACTATGTATATTTTAACAATGATGGTTATATTCTATCCCCAGTGATTGGTATGTAAGTCAATCCTCTCCAAGCAAGGTGCTTCCTCAGAAAATGGAGCTGCTGCTTTTGACATGAGTGGTTGTAGTTTTAGAGTGGGCCTGGGAAGATTGAAGGAAATAAAGAAGTTAAGGGGGATCAGGGTAGAATTTAAAGGCTAAAATTAATTCTGGCAAATCAAAAATGTCTATGATCTCATAGAAAGACTTCTCTGACACCTCACTACCCATTTAGAATTGTATCTCCTATTTTTAAATCCATTTAGAGTCTATGGACCTTGGGAAATACATTCAGACAAGAGCTCAGTCTATTCACACATTGCTTTAGGGTTCATGGGAGTAGAATCCAAGTAGAATCCAAGCCTTGTTCTGATGGCTCTGAAAACCTAAACAGGGCAAGAAGGCCCTTAATTAATTACCAGTCCGAGGCAGTGACTTTTGAGTGGTTTCTGATATTGGGGGTGAAGAGTAGCAGACGGGATGGGTGGCTTGGCCAAATTTCCTGGAGGAGGTGAGAATGGAGCTGGGCCTTCTAGAATGAGGACAATTAGGCAGGCCATGAGAGGAACACATTCCTGGTGATTGAATGCCAGAAGCTAAGCTGTAAAAGTCGGAGATGATAATTTGAGGGAGAGATAGCCAGGCCCAAATAGAACAGAGAATGCACAGAGATAATTTTTCAAAAACAAGGGATCAGTCTATGAGAGCCTTGGCCTGAACCTCCTCACCCCCATGGGAAGGAACCCAGAAGAGGGAGCTGGATCAGGTCTCCTATAGATCTCACTTTCAGGGTCGTGCCAGGGACTGCACAGACACTCCCACTGCGCTGTCTCCAGTCTTGGTGGGAATTATCCTGACATCAGTAGTTCTAAAATGGAAAGGTTCCACTCCAGTCTGAACTCAATTCCTTGGTCCTGATTCAAGACAGAAGGAAAAGGGGAGAAACAAGAGTCTTTTACCACTAACTTTCAGCCCACCCTGACCAAAATGTTCCCACAGGAGAGGAAACGGCCAAGAGGATAATAGTTAGAATAATATGCATTATTTTACCTTAGCCCT